GCTTTGTGACATATCTTTTATGTTTAACATTTTGAGAAGACACTTCAACTCTGAGAAATACAAATAACAGTGCAGTTGCAAAATACCCTGTTTGCACTGAAATATAGTAAATAAATATTTAAAATCGCCCTTACTGGCACTATCCACCATATAATTAGGGTTAAGCATCTGTGATCAATTGTGACTAACAAATTGCTCAAGCATCATAAGCCTTGTGAAGAGACCACAGTTTTATTAAACACTGGAAATTGCATTTTTCCCAGTGGTTGTACTGTAAGATAATGAACTCCCCGTGAGTGGCAGGAGAGATGCAAATTCAATTTTGCACGAGACTCACAAATACCGTGATATATTATGCTGATAGAGACACAGCCTCCATCTAGACAAAATGAAAAAATTTCTTCGTGTTCAGTAAATGTGTGTAATTAAGAAAATATGAAGGACAGCTAATCATCAATATTGCATGCATGCCTGTATCTCCAATCTTATTTTGTAAAAAAATTCTAGTTGAAAGTTGAACCTTGTTCTTCTGGGTTTCAGGTTTCAGTTTTCAAAGGGACTATTGATATTGATGAAACCAGAAGGCACCTTAATCAGGCCCCAAAAATGTGCTAACTTCTCCTTAAATTTTTGCTTTCAACCAAGTGGCATGCCTAGGTTTTAATTTATGAGAGCAGGTTTTATTATACAAATAAGCAGACACTGTCTGGGGGACAAATGTGAAGCAGCTCTGATAGCTTTTATTAATTTATTTGATTTACTCTGGTTTCCCTTACCCAATCTTATTTATGTCAAAGTAAGTTGAAGCAGAATTCATTATGTAGTGAAATCCAATTTGAACACTTTTTATTGGGACATGGTGATTCAATCATTCCTCTCCTTAAATCCCATTATCTCTTCTCACATTATTTGGTACAGATCAAATCACATAAGATGAAATTCCGAAAGAAACTTAAGAACTTGCGGGCGGGAATGAAATAATATCCGAATAATTTCTTATACTATGAATACTAAGTTATACCACAGTTAGCATTCTTATCACTTTGCATTCTAGTAGCATATTTTCTCTGAAGAAAATTAACTGAGTTAGCGAACTTGACTTTCTTAAGTAAACTTTTGAAGTAATCGTAGTTTCTAATTGTCTTGATACAGAATCATCAGAAGCACTGAGTCTAATCTGACCCCATTTGCGCACCTTGACATTTTGTGTATTAAATGGATTGCAAAATTTGCCAAATTCCTACTGACTTTCCTCTTCAAATTGGGGAGTTTAGGAATTCTCAAATTTTGGTAACTTTATAAAAAGTGTTTGTGAAAATATATTTATTTACCTATTTCATTGTGTCAGGTATATTGTTCATACGTAGGGACTCCTCAAGTCATAAATGAATCTAGTTACCAAAGTCCATTTCCACGTTGATTATTTAGAAATGGGAGTCATTTTCTCATGGAGACATTGCAGTTATACTTAGAATGACAAGATTATCCCCTAAATGCCTTTTAAACCCCTGTGCTACCATACCTTCCAAATCACAATTCGTATGCCTTAACCCATCATAAGTTAAATATTTCCACGTTTAGAGACCTCTAAGAGCTCTAAGAGCAGACCAGAGAGGGTAACCAAATTCAGCAATTCAAATGGAAAGGTTGCCTAACTTCTGCTCCTAACAGAATCAGAGGAGAATTTAACTTATTAGCCATGTCAGATGCCTGGTGAAGTAGAGACGTATTTTTCTCCCAAAGCTACAGTACAGTTACAAGCACAGCAAATACACTTATCCATTCATGTGTTCCTTCAGTTATTCACCACATGTTAATTATGCAATGTCCTGGGTACCGTTCTAAGAGCTGGAGATGCCAAAGCACTTGTTTGTCCATTGAACAGTCTGTGGTTAGAAACTTACACAATTGTCAATAAGTCTTTCCATCTGCGATTTTCAATATCATTCGATGACTACTGCCACTCAATTCCCGGGTAAGATGTGACTTCCTGATTATACACATTCATCATCCGACAAAGACGTATGATTATACAGGCTGAACCAAATCTGAACTTTCATCCTCATCCCCTCTATGCCGCCCTATCTGGGAGTTTCTTTGTTAAAGATTTCACACAGTATCATTAGTCAGAGATTTGTTTGATTTCATTTCATTAGGAAACTTTTCCATATTGGCAAATGGTAGGTACAAGCAAAACACACACAATACTTATTCCAGGGTAAGCAAAAGACTCATCAAATTCTCTTTGGAAATATTTCAACTCTGCTTGTGTGAAGTCTGATCCTCTGTAGTCTCTCCAAGCCGCTCTCGGGCTGCATCTTAACAAACACTAAAGGGCTGCCCAAGCTTTACAGCTTTGTACTGTTACAGGCATGGGTGTCTAGGGGGCCTAGAAGTCTCCAACAAACAATAGTTTGATTGTAACCTTATTTGTTATGGTGGCCTTTGAACGGCAACTGAATAATTCATACCCCGAACTCTGGTCTTTTCTAAGTTATTAAGATAATTAAGAGAGTAAAACATTGGGTCAGAAAAGAATTTATTCATTTTGGCTAACCTCCCCATTTCTAATTCATCTGCACTCGTCATGCGCAGTGAGGCATTGCTATGTGATGTTTTGGGGGAGCACGTGTTACTCTACTTACTACAAGATTACCATGAAGTCACACTTACAAATCTGTGGGTGTACGTGCCCCTGTGACAAAGTAGATACCTTAGAATATCAGCTCCCTGCCCTTATGAAGCTCCTGATGCATGCTCTTCCCGTGGAAGAAATGCCACTTACCAAAGGTGATTCTTGTTTTTTAAAAAGACTCCTTAAAGGCTAAATATCTATAAGAATCTTGACCCCTTTCGAGTAGGCAATTTGGAAACATGGACCTTTGCATGGAAAATGAAAACAATGAGTCATAGAGGGTAAGCCAGAAAAGTGACTTGTCTGTCCTACAAGATGTTCACACATGGCTGGCATTGAAATTGGTTGTCTGTAGAATGGTTATCGAGAAGGCAGTATTAGCCTGTGTCCTCTTGGTCTCCCTGGAACAGGGTGACCCAGGCAGATGCTGTGGGTGCTTTAACCCTCGCAATACTGGTTTACAAACCTCAGTAAATGTGTGCACTTCATCTGGCTCCTAAAACTCTTGGTACTCTTTGAACTCTGTCTTTGGAGAGATAGACATCAAGTTCACCTAGGAAAAGTGATGTGCTTATCTCAGAGGAGTGAAGGTGTCCAAGAAAGAGTCAGAGATCTATGATATAGGATTCTTTTCCTAGGGTTTTCTGAAATAAAACAAAAAAGGCCAACATTTTAGAGTGGGTTGGGGTGGGGGAAGAGGGATTTTACATGGTTTTAACCAGAAAAAATAAAAATAAGAGTTTATCATTCATGATTATTTAGTACTTCTGGTAACGACTCCATTGAGAAGACCTCCCTAGTGACCCCTGTGTCAACCCTTACATTAGAGACTGGGCCCGGGGTCAGCCTACTACTGGCTCCTTTCTCCCCAGCAATAAACCCACTCCCCGCTGTCTGGCACGACCCTGGCTGCATGTTTGAAGGTTAATACCCTCAGCCTACCTTGATAAGCCCACATGAAAGGTACAACACCAACATTACAATTCCTCTTGCAGAGTTTCAAAATTGCTCCATGCTATTTTTGGAAAAGATCAGCAGCGCACTCAGCTGGAAAGAGCCCCAGACTTCAGGGAGGCCGACTGGGGACTGAACAGAAACTCCCCCACATTGGGGCTGTAATTTGGGTTCATTAGTTTTCCTCTCAAGCTCTCCAAGCCTTAGTTTTCTCATCTATAAAACAGAGTAATAATATCTATCCTGCAGTGCTGACAGGGCTTCCTCTTTTTTTTTTTTTTTTTTTTTAATGTGAAAATGCAACTCATAAGGCCTGGCACATAAAAGGCATTTGATATTGGTTGTTTAAAATAATCAAAAATGCACACATTACAAAAGGGGCTCATGACATTAAGGAATAGGCTAAGTGAAAATGGAATATTTTAAATCTCAAAGAGTATATATCTCTAACTTAGCAAATCTAACACTACAACTCCAAATGTGGGGAAATGAAGCAATATCTAATATATATTTTAATTTCACTTATATTTAAAAATTTTATCCAATTTTTCCCTAGATTAATTCTCAAATTTGCTAAGAAGATCCCTGGACCCTCCTATCCTTTCTGCCTTTTTAAAAGACTCTCTCTTGCTCTCTCTTTTCTTGTCTTTCTTTCTTTTCTTCTTTCTTTTCTTTTTTTTTTTTCTTTTTTTTTTTGTGGCAGTCTTGATTCATTTCCTCACTCTGGAGAGTCACATACAGAAAAAAGGCCATCAGAAGATGAGAGTGCCCATCTATGCAGATATTTCAGCAGATAGCACAGAATGGTTAGTGCCAGGGATGCTGAGCCTGGCTGAGCAAAAGGGAGTCAGAGAAATGTATCTCCAGGGGCAGATGGAATGGAGGGAGGAAGGACAATTAGGCCAGGAATGCAGGAAAGGAGAGAAGACCGAAAGCTAATCAACCCAGCAGCTAATGTATACAAAACAGAGCTTTGCAAAGGCCAGAGGTTTACACAAGATCCTGGCCAAAAGGAGCCTGAGTCCAGGGCCAAGCTAGGGTGAGGGGAGTGAGATTCTTTGCCTTGTGCACAAAATTTAAGGGAGCACCACAAATTCAGTAATCGACATGAATAATGTTTTATTTTTTCCCTTTATTTAAATTATTTTTTTATTGAGGTATAGTTGATGTACAATATCATATGTTTCAGGTGTACAATATAGCGACTCACAATTTTTAAAGATTATATTCCATTTATAGTTAATATAAAATATCAAAACATTATGAATAATGTTTTAATGTAATATTAAAAAAATAAAATTTAACAAAAACATCTATGAAGAAAAAAACTTGAAATTTCAAATAACGACAGTATTTGACCTTGAATTTGTAGCACTCACCTCACCCTAATCCCCACCCTCTCAATCCTGTCTTAATTAAAAATTTTTAAATTTTCTTCATAGATTTCTTTCATTAATTTTTGGCTTTTAAAATATTGCATTGAAATATGATTTACCTTGATGGCTGAGTTTGTTGGTGCCCCTTTAAATTCTGCACTTTAACTGAGGGCCTCCCCACATTACCCTAATCCTGGCCCTGCTGGGTGCAGAGGGGGCTGCTTGGGAGCTAAATGGGAATCAGCGGGACAACTTCTAGGAGGCTGTCTGTAGTGCCTTTAGGAATCCCAACACTGAATTATATTCTCAAGTTTATGTAAAAATAATTATTAGTAGGTGATAAAAAGTAGGCAATGGAGACCATTAATCTGACACTCTTGTCTTTATTGGTGTATGAGTTTGGTTCTGACTGATCAACTACATCACAAATTCCAATACAACAGATCTCATTTCCATCAGCGTGTCTGTATAATAAAGATTTCCAAGCTCTATTATCATTTATACATATGTGTGGACAAGCCCTGGAGGTTCTGAACATAGTAAAAGAATGCAGGTCATGTTTCAGGTCCACTCTCTTCAAACATAAGAGAGGGAAATAAAGTTAAGCAACACGTAGCAGTCAACAGAGACCCCTCCGTCTCCCACCTCTGCAGATCGTGGTGCAGCATCAGAGGGAGATGCCGTGCTGAGACCAGCACGGCAAAGCAGCAGGCAGGTGCCCAGCAAGCGGTAAGGGGTTCATTGCTTGTCATGGGGAAGCAGGGAGACCTCCGAGAGAGGACCACGCTGGGTGCCCGTTAGCAGAAGGATCTGCTTGGGGAATGTCATCCATACCAATCCACACAAGCCCCCTCTTTCCAAAAGTGGGCAGAAGGTGTGAAGACCATATGGATTCACCCCCAACCTCACAACCCCCTCCCATAGCTTGGCCCCCATGCAGAAGCTTGGCCCTCGAAAACACAGATCTCTTCTACAAGAACAAAAGAAGGCCCTGGGTTGTTAACGCCAAGGACTGTACCCATGCATCAGTCATTAGACCCCATTCGGGCTAAGATCCACTTTAATTTAAAACTTGGGATGCAATGTGCAGGAAACAGCAGAGAGTATACACAAGCCCAGAGGAGACGCATGACTCAGGAAGTGAGTGATAAGGTCACTCCCTTTGCTACTTGGCCGTTGTCTTCTTCCTCAAAGCTCAGGAGTTCAGGAATCTAAAGCAGAGCTCCCCATCATCAAAATGTTACTAAGAAAATGAGAGTTTTCCTCTTCCAAAACCAATGTTGATAAAGGTCTAGGTAGGGCTCAAGGAAAACTAAAACCTTATATGTACACAAAGGTATGTTAGTCAAAACTAAGGCTCTGAAGAGGGAGAGAAATATCCTAAAAGTGAACAGCACTTGGAAAAGAAGAAAATGGTCCTCTCAAAATAAGGCTTAAGCAGTGAGACAGAATCGTAACTGCTTCTCTGGATATCAGGAAATGGCATTAATGGAACTAGGAACTTGGATGAAATGTCATCATTAGCATCATGGTTCCTGAACCCTAATATATAGAGAAAAGGAGGGAAGATGACAGAATGAGACGGGCAAAAAAGGACTTGATGTTTATGGGTCAGAGGAAGTAAAGCCAGGATAGAGACAATGTGAGGCCAATTAGTCCAGCTAGCCGGAGTACTCTATTAATAGAAAGTAAGACTAGGTCCCTGGGTAACCAGTTAGCTTCTCTCTGTTCATTAGCAACTCACTCGTAAAAAGCAAACTCCTTTCAGGAGCAAGGGTGGGGATCGGTAGTGGGTATGAGAGTATAAACATCTGAAAATCCATCATTCTTTCAGGAAAACATGTGAGATGGCTACTCAGTGGTGTCACCTCTGCTTATTTTATAAGCAGATATATCATGTAATCTCCTCTAAGGAAAGCATTCCATAATATGGAGACTAGCTCTTTTGATATAATTAGATAGTGTGGGATGGTATCCTGTCCCCTCTATATCAACCACTTATTGGAACATTAGGAATATTGCACTTAGTCTAAATGCCATCATTATCTCATAATGACCTGGGTTCTACTTTAATGCACCCAGAAGGTCAATGGCATGGTTAAATAAATGTGCTAAATAATAGCAACAGGGTAAAAAGCATGTTGATGTCTACCCATACTTATAACGTATATAGTAACTGATAAGCATAATAGAGAAACTAGGCATTAGATTATTGTTTCCTTTCTAGAATTCTTCCCAACCCCTTTGGTTCAAAGTCGCACAAATCTAATCTCTTACAAATCATAGGAAAATATGTGTTCTGAACTCATTTTTAGAACCTATCAACTTTAATATTACTGTGCAAAATGCCAACTCTGAAATACTCCTGTATGTCATACTATTGATAGAAGTCCCCTGGCCAGAACCCCAGCTTGGGCCTTGATGCCTGAGACATGAGAAGAGGAAGCATTTCATGAGGGGAGGACTGGAGAATATTAGGCTACTGACTCCATCAAGTTTAGGTGAGGCTGAATGATTAAGGGGAGATTCCAATTCATCAGAGGTCCTTGCACAGCCGAGGAATCCTGGGTGGAAGAAAAGGCATCTCTAAATAGTGAGAATCATATCAGATGTAACCAGACTGGCCCTTTCAGATCCAGCACGCTTGGCTCTCTGAAAGGGGCTACCCAGCTGGGGTGAAGAACTGGGGGCAAAAACTGATCATCTGCTCCAGCGGAGCAGACGACTACATTTGGAGTCATCCAGAGAGCTGACCCTAAACTGGAGTGCTCAGCCTGCCTTGGCAGATCCGGGACCCTTTTGCTCCCTGAGTCCTCCAGGCCCATAACACAAGGCTCGTCTCCTCTGTGACACTCACCCTGGAAAAGCTAAGCTCCTCTGGATTCACGGTCCCTCGAAACCCGACCTGCCATGGCCAGTCCAGCCCAGCTCTGTCTTAATCCCCATGCATCACCAAGCAAATAGAAAATCTGACACTGACAATAATATACCCAGCGAGCCTCCTATGGACCTTCCAACACAATTCACCCAAGACAAGCCTTTACTATAGAAATATGAACAAAGCCCAGTACAAATAAAGGCCAGGGTACAAGTGGTTAGACTTTATATCACAGGAGGTTAAAAGGACACTCATAAGATGAGGAAGTTGGATATCCAAAGGATATTATCAACAATTATCTCTGTTGGAATTATAGATGAGTTTTTATTTCATCTTTGTTTCTTACGTTTTCCAAATTTCCAACTACAACCTATATTATTTATTTTAAAGAATCACATTTTAGGGTATCTGCAGGCATTTTGGGTAAGGAGGACTTAATTCTGTCTTAGTAGCAGAAATCATCAGAGCTATACCAACTAGGGTGACCAATCCATTATCATTTGCCCAGGACTGTCCCAGTTTTAAAACTGAAAGTTTTGCAGCCTAAGAACCTCCTCAGCCCTGCGGGTGGAGGGGAGGTCACTGTGATACTGACATGTCCTTCTCCTTTGAGCCACAAATGCCGCCTTCTAATTTTTCCCTCCCTGAGGGAGCCCAAGCATTCAGAAACACACAGCATCTTCTCAGCCAAAGGGAGCCGGCTCAGACAGAGGGCAGCGTGGACTCAGGAACCCTTTGGGCTGCTGTCTCCATCTCAGGAAGCAGCTTTCCTCCTAGAGGCTGAGCTCAAGGAGTGAGACTGCCTTTGTGCTTGGTTATCAGGTTGAACTAAGCAGATCTCTCTCCAATTCTTTCCTGTCCGTGGTGTGGAGCAAATTCATCTTACATGCCTTTCAAGAGAAGTAACAACTACCAAGAAAAACAGCAAACAAATAAACAAGTACAACATCGTGAATGAAAGGCAGCATGGCTGCACTTCATAAGGAGAGCTGGCATAATGACTAATCTGAGAAGATCCCAACCATGGTGGCTTACCCTCTCTGGCTGGCAGAATTAGCAAAGGCAGAGAAAACTTCACAAGGAGAAAACCTGCACTCTGTTACATTAGCTGCCATGAAGAATTGAACTGTGAGCGAGCATCGCATCCAAGAAAAACTCCCGTTCTTTCATGTCTCCTTAACGACAGGGAGCATTCAGTGTTCAAAGCATCTGGGTAGCAGGAGCTGCTTAGCAACATAAGAGGTTCCTCTGCATATGTGTTTGCTGAGCTGGTCCTGGTCCCCAATCTGCTGGCACGTGCAAGAGTGACCAACCAGATACCAAAATGGGGGTGCATTTGATAGATTCATCATGCTGGTATCCGCTCTCCAGTTGGGCTGGGCGTTGGGAAATACCCAGAAGAAATGCAGTAGCATCCTGCATCTGCCTGCATGCTTCCAGCACATCACTGATGATTTGGTGAAAGTGGACTGAACTGTCTGATGTGTGAGGGGTGCATAATTCCCTCTTGGTTGGCCGATAATGTGGAAGTAAAATCAGAATACCATTGTGAGTGTCTCCCTGATCTAAATCTATAATTGTTTTTCCCTTTTAGTCATTAAATGTAAGGTGGACTGTTTTCTCTAAGAGGTCTAGGTACCCTGTAACTGGGTGGTATTTCTTTTTTGATAACAAATAATGTCACCCAGCGGTCAAATGCTAATAGAATGATGTCTCTTATTTTACTTAGTTGTAAATGTGCTTGAAACTGGTTTCCTAACAAATCTCCTTCTCAATAGAGTTTGTAACATGGCTTACGTTTTACGTGTAATTGTGCAGCATGTATTCGTTTCCTTTCTTCGAGGGAACTCAAGTTGCTTTTTTTTCAGCATTATTTGATAGCTTCTTACCACATCCTCTGGAGTTGAAAGGAGAATATAGTATCAAGCTGTTATAGCTGGCAATGGGGGACTATGGCATCAAGAGACAGAATTGGACTGGGACCTACAGAGGCTGAGCAACGTGCCATGAAGACCCCCATGAAACGAGTCGTCAGCCCACCGTGCCATAAATGAAGCAATTTCTAAGGATCCTAAAATAACCGCATTCTCTCGCCCCTAACACTCATGCTGGGCAAAACAGACTTAGGTTATTTTTAAAGTGCAGGCCATGGCCTTCAAAGGGATATAAACAGTTCCCAAAGCAGTTATTGTTTGGCCAATTAAATACTTAGAAGAAAACATACTTTTGAAAGACAAAATTAGTAGGCAAAGGACCTAGGAAAGTGCTATAGCAATTGTTTCTGCCTGTTTTTACTTCCATCAAATGGACCATCAAAATGGACCGTGGGCACAGATTGCACTGAAGTTCAAAGATAACCTCTGATAACTCTCATCCCTTGATATAACGAGCTCCTGAGGTCTTGGATATGATTCAGAATTTTTGCTCATGTGTACCCAAAGTAATGTCACAAATATTTTCAAAACCTCTGCAGTTCTGTGAAAAATACCACTTCCATTCCCTCCCCTGGTTGGTAACACAATGACAGGGTGGGTATGGCAGTTAAGGGGCGCAAGAGGGGTGTCCTGTGTGATCTTTTCAACTACTGTTAAAACACTCCCTCCCTTTATTATATTTAATCTCCTTAGTCTTAGCTGGTCTATGAATCTGTGCTTATCTACATAGTTGCCTAATAAGCATGTAACCAATGGGAAAACACACACACGAACATATACACACACGTGAACGATAATACTTGAAGTATGGCACACGCTGCAGGAAGTCAATAAACATCCATTTCATTGGAAATGGAATTAAAGTGGAAAAAAGTCAGAATTCCTTATCTGCATCTGCCACAGAGTTACTAGCCCTAGATATACACAGAGGGCATGCGCTGTAAGAACAAACACATACAGTATGTATTTCAGGACAATTCTCATTTAATTTAGGCCCTCCGCCTAGGACCCTAGCTAATTTACAAGGCTGCTCTAGGAAAGACACAATTCTAGGGATGACAATGAGTCTATGGCATTTGCTTTTCCTGCAGGGGAAGCTATAACGCGTTCCCACCCTTCAAGAGAACCCAAGATTGATGATTCGGGGGTTTTGCTGGTTAGAGTGGTTTTTTTTCTCTTTCTTTCTTTCTTTCTTTTTCTTTCTTTCTTTTTCTTTCTTTCTTTCTTTCTTTTTTTTCCAGCTCAGAAGGTGTGTTTCCATTGTACCCTGTCAAAAATGTTCTTAGCAGTCAAGGAGAGGATAGCAGCACAGCTGCCCTTGAGCCGGGTTGGTCAGTCCTACTGGGAAAACACCCCGTGCGGACAGATGATGTGGTTTTCAGACACGTCTACACAGACTAGTTGAATTAAAGACCAACTCCAGCCTTGATGTTGCTGAGCTCCTCAGCTCCATCTCGCCATCCTGATTGATCGAGGAGATGGGTCTATAGTTAGAGTGGCATAGCACTTTGAGGGTTTAGTCATTAGAGCACACTGCTTTCTCTTGGGAAGGCAACTTCTTGCTTGGCTAGGTTTTGGAAGCTAAGGAGTGACGTCAAGTTGTTCTCTGGCCAGAATTTGCAGATAACCATAGAACTCTTCTCCTCCATCAGGCATGGATTTAGCCTCCTTTAGTTCCTGCAGTGACACAGGAGCCTCCAAATACCAAATTATTATCAGGCGGTCTTGGGGGAACCTCTGGGCCCTGCAATAAAGTAGACAGACTTGCTATTGGAAAGTGCTCAGGAGCAATTCAGCCCTGTTCAGATTGTTCTAAAATCCTGCAAACAACCTCTGGACTTTGTAAATGAAAACCTCACATAGCTCCTGAGAGTGAAAAATTACTTAGGGGGATAAAATTTATCATCATCCTTCACTCAAATGATCTTACACATCATTTAAAGAAATATGGTTTAATCATGATTTTTTGTTTGTTTGTTGTTCTGTTTTTAGAGCAAAGCTACACGAGCAGGGAGGCTGTATTACTTTTGGACAAGCCATTTCTGAGCATTGTCTGTAAAATAAGGTGTATGTATTCATTGATCTTTAAGGTCACAAACAGTTGGTGGATTGTGGACCAAATCTGACTCTGCTGATGTATTTTGTTGGTTCCACCCAGCGTTTTAAACCTTGGAGAATTCACATAAAATATAAAATGCCTGCTCTCTCTGGAAAACTTGGAGTATCTGGTAATACCAAGCCCACATGCCATCATGACCTTCACTATACCGTATCATCTTTCTGATCTAGCCTGTTTCTCTCAAATTGACCTGCCCGATCCTTGTCAGGGTTTAGGATCCTTGCTCTAAGCTATGCTATCATAGTGCACTGTGATTATACGATGAAGTCCTTCACCACTGGCCTCCCCAAGGAGACTCCCTGAGGGCAAGGAACATGCCATCATTATGACCGAATTTCCAATTCTTAGTATTGTGGGAATATTGTGGGTAGCCAATAAATAGGCAATGAATTGAACTTCACCTTCTGCATTAGATTCTTACAGTTCAGTGAAATAAGCTGGGATCACTGTTTGTAAGAGCACACATATAAAGCCAACATCTTTGAATAGCAGGCAGCTTTAGGAAAGAGAAGTAAAAGCGCTGGTCTGTGACCCAAGCCTCTGATGGATCCAGGGCTTGGTGGTGTACTGTCTATGTGATATTTTACTTTAAGCACATGGGAAAAATGCCATACTTTTTCTGAGAGCTTCTTAAATTTGTTTTTCAGATGTAACCTATCCAACTTCTTGGAAGAGCCCTTCTTTAGAGATTGGTTGTAAAAATACTTCATGGGAATAACTTAACTGAAAGCTAAGCTCCCGAAATATCATGGGTCTATAGCAACAGATCCCTCTGTACATCAGATCTATGCATTTTGAAATATTTAAATTTCTGAACGACTACAATTAGGATCTTCAAAGAAAGGATTTTTTGTTAAAGGCTTATTTCTGCTAAACTTGCTATCTAAATCTATTTAAACTGGCTAACATGTTGTTAAAAATACATCTAGCAAAGTCTACACAGGCAAATTTAATAGGAAAGGACCCAATGTAAAAGGGTCAATGTAAAAGGTCCTCTATACTTGTTACCAGTCTGTTAGTAATTAATATTTCAGCAATATATAGCCATATCTGGTCAACATCTGGCCAACATCAAAGGCACATCATGTCCCATGCTACGAAGATGTAGTTCAACAAGTATAGTTTCTGCTCTCTAGGAGCTTACAATCTAACCTAATCAAGACTAGAGAGACATACACCAGAGTGGTCATACTCAGGACTTCACAAAAGGCAACAGATACATTGAAGATAAAGATAAAAAGTATGGGGTAAAGGATGGCATTTAAGAAAGGGTAGAGGGAATGAGAGAAGTAAATTGCTTCTTCATTCCCATTTCTTTGAAAAAGGATTTATGGAAGATGTGTTATTTTAAGTGTTCTTAAAATCATGAAAGAGCATATGGCTTGATGCTTGGAAGAAATAAAACTTCTTCTGATATAAGATACTAAGTGATTGAGAACACTGAGCCAGTAAGGACTGCTGAGTGAAGGACCCAACAAGACTTTATAAGGAACAACTAAACAATCAATGGTCTGGTGCCCTCTGGTAGAGGGCAGAAGCTGAGGGGAAGCTGCAGGTCTCCTCAACTCTTCCAACTCTTTCTAAGTGGGAGTGGCTGAGCCACAAAACCAAGACTCCTCCAAAATTACCAAAATGTCTAATCCAAAACCTTTGTAAAAACTTCTATGAACTCTAGATTAAGGAAATGACCTTTGGAAATTTTCCTGTGGAACTTCTAAGGGAAGAAAGCACTTCTAGAAAGAACCACAGACTCAGAAGCCATCTAGCTCACTTGATTCTATAAGCTCTCATTTGTTTGCTTTCTTGCTCATTGGTTCATTTTCTCTTATTGGACTTGCTAGGCTAATGCTATCTACTTGATTATTCAGCTTTATCTTTCTTCCATTGACAAAGAAAAGCAAATTTTTGAGTACAGGTTGATTTTAGTCAACTTCAATTTTAATGCAGTCTCAGGTTAACTAAGTAAATCATACAGACTGGTGCTGGTGGTGGTGTCAGGGGTGTCAAAGTACTCTGTTCCTAGGGAGAACAATCAAAATGATGACAGAATCTCTCATTACACTATCTTGCTTTGCTTTGTTCAGTATTTGTTACACATGCAGGGCATTTCAGGAACCATTGGAGGATGCTTATCTCAACAAAGAATGCACATTTTAAGCAAACCTCCACACATCATGTTCACACCATAATAATAATATTAGAATTAATAATACTTTGATTTCAAAGACTACCTTTTATTTCAAGGAGCTCAATGTTCTTCACGTATGCTATTCTATTTATCTTATCATATTACATATTCAACTGAAAGCTATGTTGAGGTTCAGTCTCACACATTACAAGACTGTAATACTGTTCACCCTAATGATTAAATTCAAATCCATTGTTAAACATACCTCAGGATAAATTTGAATGAATAGGAGGAAATTACAGATGTTCCTTTATATTTGAAAAGATACTCACTGCTAAGTCCCCTTATCCATGAGCATTCTCAATGGAAAGTCAGTCCCCAATATCTAACCTTGAAATAGTCTTACCTTACCTGAGACAGGGCAGGAGAACAGTATTTAAGATGGGGCAAGAACATGCAGATAGACAAAAGGTACCCACTTGTCAGTGCCAGAGAACCCCTGGGACCTTAGCCACCTGATATTCTAGCCCTCATGGCCCCTTATTCATGTGTAAGGGAAGGCCTGGAGTTCCACTGGCATAAGCCTGTTTGTCTACTGTGACTTTATTTCTTGTCCTTCAGGCTGTGTTCCAGCCTCTATATTTGAGCACTGGCTCAGAAGATAGGATAAGATAAAGATTCCAAGTTTCCCAACAGAGGCTAGTGGGTTAATTTGGTTCTAAGAAATATAACTCAGTGTACTTAACAGGCAGCCCATCTGTTGTGATGTCCCTTTGCTATTGTGACATCACAACAAGCCTCATACTGGGAACTAGGACTGAACAAAGAAAACAGAACTACCTAAATTGATACCACCTGTGTGCAACACAGAGCATTCCTGACTACCATTAGTGTATATTTTAAGGACTTTCAATAGACCAAATTTAAATCCCACCAATTGCTTGTCTTCTGTAACTGATGTATGTGCATTCTAATGACACTTCTGGTTTCTGTCTATCTTTTTCAAGATAAGCATGCCTTGATTCCAACTTCATGTTGACAAATGGTTTTGGAAAATGGATCTCAAGAGAAGTCAGTATCTGCCCACAGTTCCAATCCCAGCAGGAGACACACCCTGAGAACTCCATAATCAACAAACTAAATGATCTATTCCTTGGGCTCAAAGCCCCAAGGATACTCAGACATTTCACACTGTACCCTCCCCTCAGTCATCCTCGTCAGGGACTCCGATAAGCATGCTGCTTGATACAGCTAGGCAGCAAATGGGCCAATAAGTATAAACAGCTGTACTTACATGTGTCTGGCTTGAGCTGACTATTGGTGATGCCAAAGTACTGGGGATTTTCAATGACAGGAATCTTGGTCATTCCAATAATGACAGCATCAGGGCCACCCTCTGAAGACGACGGAGTGTTACTCCCATTGGAGATGTGATGGAGTGGGCTGGCAGAGTCATCATCATTGCTGATAACTGAGGCTGGGCCTGGAGTTGGAAAAATACATATTCTCCTGTAATTTTTCATGGCTTTGTGGAGCTATAATTCACATACCTAAAATTCACCCATTTAAAGTGTACAATTCAGTGGGTTTTAGCATATTCCAAGAGTTGTGAAACCATGACTACAATCTAATTTTAGGAGATTTTTATCATCTCAATTAGCAGTCGCTTCCCATTCTCCCCGCTTCCAGCCCTGGGCATCCACAAATTTACTTTTTACCTCTATGGATTTACCTATTTTGGACATTTCACATCAATGGGATCATATAATATGTGATCTTTGGGGCTTCTTTCACTTAGCCTGACGTTTTTAACGTTGATTCACATGGTAGCATGCATCATTACTTTATTCCTTTTTATTGCCAAGTGATATTCCATGGCATGGATACACCCCATTTTGTTGACCCATTCATCAATTGATAGAAATCTGGGTTGTTTAAAATTTTTGGCTATTATGAATAATATAGCTATGTGCACTCGTGTACAAGTTTTTGTGTGGATATACGTTTTCATTTCTCTTGGGTGGAAGTGCTGGGTCATATAGTAGCTTTACGGTTAACCTTTTCAGGAGCTGACAAACTGTTTTCCAAAGTGGCTGCACAACATATCTTATATCCGCAACAGCAATGTGTGAGGGTTCCAATTTCTTTACTTCCTTCTCCTGTAATTCAATATGCAGCTTTCCTCTCTGTATTCTGAACATCTTTAGAGCACTCTCTCATTGAAACTCCCAGCATGAATCTAGGATTCCTGTTGTACAGTGTACTGAAAGACGTCCTAGAAGTTCAAAGATCTGATCCTTTCACCACTCTCTGGACAAATCACTTAACTTTTTTGTACCTCTACATCTGCTTACATGTGTAAAATATGCAAAATAGTATCTGCTTGTTACTTTCTGAGACTGGAATGAAACTACTGATATGAAAATGTGCTTCATGAGTATGAATTACTACTAAGTATTACTAAATAAACTTACGAATAACTGGTCGACTAGAATTGCATCGGCCTGTCCTATTACTATGCTCCACTTTCTGTATATTCTCTCAGCAGCGGCACCACTTTTGCACGCAAAATACTTTCACAGCAATAATGGACCAATCCCATGGCAAAGTTCCCTGTTTTGCCTTTAGCCATAACATTATTTGTAGTGTCATTACATGGATGTCTTTATACTAAAGCAATAACCATAACATTTTTCATACCAGATTTAAACTTTCCAGTCCAGAGTCTCAGAACGTATATACCCATAAATACAGTCTACTGTATCTTGTCTAAACAATTCAACCATTGACCTATAATGTTTGCAACCAAAAATACATTCACAAAGATAAAGGTCTACATTCATTGAAAACGTGCAAACAATTAAGATCTCAGTGGCTTTTGACAGACACGCCCTACAGGGAAAGTAGACAAAGCCCCCTAGTATAGTACACAGGATTCTACAGTATCCTGAATAGGTGCAGGGTCTTCCAGAAGGCTCCCACTGGCCAGGGTTACTATAATGAGCTAAGAGGAAGACAGGAAGAAAAGGATATGGAGGAAAGACAAAGGGAGGGCAATGAGAAGGCAAAATCCAATGTGCAGAGAAGACAAATGTGTACTGGTTAAATGAAAGCCTTAATCGCTACTTCCTGAGCAAGACCACGTGCGTTTGCCCAGCCCCCCAGGACGTTTCAGCACCTCCAGCAAATCTCTCCCTCTTCCTCACATTTTACTTTTTCTATAAGAAGCACAGCAATAGAAACAAAAGTTGTTGTATCATACTTTTTTGAATTCCCTACGAAATATCACGGTAATCCATCCCCCAACCTCCAAGATCCATTTTCCCTCTTATATGGGGATTATCACAGTTTGTAGGGATAACGACATTCCCCAGCTAGCTGAATCTTAAACTAGGCAGGAGGCAGCCAACTGCTATTATAGGTGATTTTTTTTTTTTTTTTTTTTTTTCCGGTACGCGGGCCTCTCACTACTGCGGCCTCTCCCGTTGCGGAGCACAGGCTCAGGATGCGCAGGCTCAGCGGCCATGGCTCACGGGCCCAGCCGCTCCGCGGCATGTGGGATCTTCCCGGACCGGGGCACGAACCCGTGTCCCCTGCATCGGCAGGCGGACTCTCAACCACTGCGCCACCAGGGAAGCCCTATAGGTAATTTTTAAAAACACTCTCTCAAGGGGATGTGTATTTAAGTTGCTTTTAATGATACACTCCGGCTTAATTCTGCAAGCAAGTCCTCACACAGCCAATTTAGAAGCCACAGAACACTCAAAGCAAAGGCAAGCTTACCAGTTGTATTCATCTTGAGCCTAGCTCACCAGTGTTAGTAAACAGTGGAAATTCTGCCAAGAATAGCTACACAGACAAGTCCTTTCTAATATCCTTAACCATCCCTGTTTTATGATTCCTGACAGGCCCCGATCACCCAGAGCTTAAACCCAGAGGTGGAAAATGGACACGTGTTATGCTAAGCTTTCTGCATCTTGTCAATAAAACCTTCCCATCATGGGCTCCCTTGCTCCAGTCCCGGTGCAGCTGTCCCCTCCTTCGACGTTACCAAAGCACGCTACTGTCCGAGCTCCCCGGGAAGGGTGCAGTAGAGGCCACACATTTCTCAACAGATTCCAGGCTTCACATTTACCCCCAGAAATGCAAGAGTTGTCATGTTCAAACACTCCACATGCTGTCAGAAGGCCAGCGATATCTGCTTCTGGACTCCCTGCAACAATTAGAAACGCACTGATCCCAGTTGCTTTTCCTCTGATTCCCTTTTGGCCCAGGACAGGCTATCCACATTCCCATAGCATTCAATCATTTTGGAGGAGGATGATACTTAGAAGACAATGTTGAAATTCCTCCAGGAATTCGGGCTCTGAAGCATCTGCCACGCACACAGTGGAGCCTTACTTAAAGAGTTCAACCAAGGGACTTGCTCTTCGCTTCTCCATCATCAGAGGACACCCTTTCCTTCCTGTGGCCTCGCTGAGTAAAACCCCCAACTCTGAGGTAACAGATTCCAAGGGGGGAGGTTCTCTGTTTGGGGGGAAAGTTTTTAAGCACAGAAGCGGTATAAAGCACCAGAGGTAATCTTTCAAAAGCTTTTTCGCTTTGCCAGAAGGTCACGGTTGACAAATCTGAGCGACATATAAACCTCAACAGTTTATCAAGTGGAATGTTAATTCAAGTGCTGTTTTCTTCATTATTGATGTTCCAGATCCTGGAAGATTGATACGGCTGGCAAGGTTGCAGAGATTCAGCCATTTTTCTATGAACATTTTGATCGAATGGAGCACAGCGAAGCTGCAAAGGGGGAAAGCTCTCAGGGGGGAAGATGAATGTCTATATAATTTGACAGCAGCCTGTCTGCGCATATCATGGATGTCTCGTTATGTGTCTGTGCACGTGGGGAAAACACCCCAAAAAGACAGACAGAAGAAGAGTCAGGGGCACATCACAGCGGGTGAGAAATTCATAGGAGGACTTGAAAAGATGTCTTACAATGTTAACAGAAAGTTTTAAATTGCTGGGTATGTGCGGCTTGCTGAGCTTGGGGTACATAGTTCTAATTACTGAGCTGACAAGTAGGAGCTATGCCTGGAAACATTTTTAGTCCATTTTTATTTTAATATGTCTCACATGCAAAGAGGCATTTTTCTTTTACCAGAGCTGCTCAGTAACGTATCCTGCATAAATGACTTTACAGACATGTTTAAACCTGACTGAGACTTTTTTCCCTGATAAGAATTGATGTAAGTCATCTGGAGAAAGAGATTCCTTCTCTCAAGACCAACATGTCTTCAAGGAGAGAGACAGATTATTGTTCTTAAATAGCTGTATTAACCATGTCTTTTATTTTCTGTATTCTGATGCTTCAACATCTGAGGCTTTGGTGACAGAGGAGGGACTGCCAATTCCTAGAGATAATAAAGTACCTGCCTACGAGAGTACGTTTCATATACAAACTGACCAATCCACAGTCTACGCCCCCAACCGCATCACTTACCAGGCTCTCACACTCCAGTCCACAATCCACCTGCCCCATCATCCCAGAGCCAGGTATAAGACAACTGGGGACCGTCCCTACATCCCAGAGCCCACTGACCTTACTCAACCCAGCCAGTCCTAAACCTGCTTACCCTGCCTCGCCCATTCCTTTCTGCAGAAACCACAATAGAGGCTCTTGTCTATGTTTTCCCCTTACTCCCTCTGCCTCCTGATGGACCCTGTGCCCCCTTCAGCACCACGGTCCCCACTGTGTCATGGCCTGCCCTCTTCTCTTGGGATCTGTGAGTAACGAACGATATTTTCAGTGGCAGTCGTCTCCAGACCTGTGACCTCCCCACAGCTGAAAAATCATAAAACCTACATTTTAAAGCAGCGGCACTTCTGATGAACTGTAGCTGAAATAACAATTCTGGAGAAGAATTCCCTCTGCTGTAGCCTAAAAGGGTGAAGCCCAGTTTTTGAAGCTTTCCAGGAACAAGTGCCTCTCTGCAGAGCAAACCGGCCTGGAAAACATGTACGTGGTTGCACCACGTAAAATGCCAATAAGCATAGTTAACTATTAATTTTATTTTTAAAGGGGAGATAAAGAGTAAGAGTATGGTGTATACATTTTCAAAGGATCTATATATGCCATAAAATTTATTTTCTTTGTAAGGACATAAGAAATATGTGATAGGTACATCTCTTGGGAGAGAGCTGGTGGGGAGAAACCATGGAGGTGGGTAAGAGAGACATTGTTTAATATTTACATTTCTGTACTGTTAATTTTTGAAAAAATCTTATGGATGTATAATTTTTCTCTATGTTAACAAACACTCTCTGGGTACAGGGATAAATGGTGTTTTCGTTTGTTTTATTCTTTATCCTTTTCTGTTTTTAAAAAATAAAGCACTACTTCAAAAAAATTTAAAACAAAACCAAAGCAAAACATTTACATGGTTGCACCGATCTGCTGTTTAGTGGAAGGAAGACCCCATTTCATGG